ATTTTACAGAAATTACTAGGATGGAGGCAACAGTACTATTTCTCTAGCGGGCAAGGAGGTATTAATCAAAGTTATGGCCCAAGCGATACCTACTTATCCTATGGCTTTATTTAAGTTCCCGGTTGCAGTCTGTAATGACTTAGATTCTCTAATCTCTAGCTTTTGGTGGGGACAAGGTGCAATTGAAAGGAAAATTCATTGGGTCTCTAAAATACTTTGGGCATCTCGAAGCAGGAAGGGGGTATGGGGTTTTGGAACTTTAGTGATTTTAATGATGCCTTACTTGCTAAATAGTGTTGACGGTTGATTTATCACCCTCATTTTCTTTGGGCTCATGTCCTCAAAGCTCGATATTTTCCGCATTGTTTTTTCCTTGACGCTAAACGGGGGAGTTGGGCTTCTTGGGTGTGGCATAGTCTTTTAGTCGGTCGAGATCTCTTAATGAAACAGGCACATTGACAAATCATGAATGGGACTTCTGTTCCTTTATGGGTGGATAAATGGCTACCCTCTCTTCCGTTGGGTCATATGTGTGTGTGGGATCTTAGCTTCTTTCACCCTTTTTTTGTCGTATGAGGAAATGACTGCTATTTTGGCTACTCCTCTTGGAGATCCTCGTTGTGATGACTGTTTAGTTTGGCCTTCCACCAAAAATGGATTATATGTTGTTAATTCTGGGTATTACTTGGCGCGATCTCTACATGACCCTTAGGTTGATCCTCGGCCCTCTTCTTCACATTCTCCATCTCGGCAGGTTTGGCATATTATTTGGAAATTGCGTACTCCTCTAAAACTTTGACACTTTATGTGGAGACTAGCTCAATGCGCTATGGTTACAATGAAGAACTTATTTAAAAGGAAATGTGCTCCATCACCACAATGTCCGATCTGTAATTCTGAACCAGAATCTATGGAACATCTTCTCTTCTTATGTCCTTGGGTGGAACCTATTTGGTTTGGAAGTGTTCTTAACTTTCGAATTGATTGTTCTCGCATTTCTTCCTGGCTTTAGTGGTTCCCAACTATTGCGAATGCGCAATTTGGGTCGAATGTGGAACATTGCTTTTACCTTGCTCATTTTGCTTTTACTTGTTGGCATATTTGGAAAGCTAGATGCCAATTTCTATATAATCAATCTCCAATCAACCCTTCTCAAGTCATTTTTACCATTTCTACCTCGGCTTCTGTGTTTTTGCATGTTAATGCTCCTCAGTCTATTTCCATCCCGGCTCTCTCAGGTGTGGCGGCCCCGGTGGTTGTTTGGTCACCCCCCACATCTCCCTTCCTCAAGGTTAATATGGATGCCAGCTTGTCTTCATCAACACGAACTGGTTTTGTCGGAGTTGTGGTTCGTGGACCCCATGGTCTCTTTGTTGCTGCGGCACGGTATGCCATTTTTGCTCCCAATGCTACTACTGTAGAGGCTTTGGCTATGATGCGAGGCTGTGAACTTGCTTCTGCGTTGGGGCATCCTCAGGTAATTCTTAAATCCGACTCGAATGACACGATTTCATTTTTATCACATTCGTTGGATGTTGGCAGATGTGAGGCTTTTCCCATCTTATCTCGGGTTAAACAGTATGGGGAAGCTTTCCACAACTGTCGCTGGTCTTGGATTCCAAGATCAGCCAACCAAGCGGCGGATTTCTGGTGTCACCACGTAATACGGAGATGTGCAATTGAGTTTGGGTCATCCGACCACCATCTTCGTTGGTTCATGTTCTGAGTAGAGATGGTTTGCCTTGTCTCCCTTTATCTTCCTGAGTAGTTCATGGGGTGACACTTGAATTTGGTTCCAATGTCTTTCTTTTATCCCATTTGCTGCTTTGTTTGTGTTGCTTTTGTTGTTGGCCTCGAGTTAGGCTTTCTTTGTATCTCTCTAGCTTTTATGCCTTGGAATGCTAGCTTCCGCTTTTCTCCAAAAATAAAAATAAAAAAACAAAAGTTAACTTCTTAGTTGACAAATGGCACATTGCTCATCATGAGTGAAAAGTGATGGCCCTTGAAACCTACATGTTAACTTGGTAGTTGCATAATCATTTGAAAATAACAGAAGAAGAAAACCCTACAATTTCAAACCAAAAGTCTGCTTATATTACAAGGAGAACAACGTAAAAAATAAAAAATAAAAGATATTGTACGAGTGCAAACCTAACGTAACCAAGCTGGTTGGCTAACGCAGTGTGCTCACCTTCTGCACCCCAAGTTTGAATCCCTTACCCTAGTTTAGACTACATTAAAATATCGCTCAAACTTATACAATCAAATCTACATGCTACATATTATACAAAAACACGGCTTGCCGTAAGTGTAGTAGAAAGAGGCGACTGCTTAAGGCGGCTTAAGGCCTCGCATCGAGAAGGCCCCATAAAAAGCTTATGTGTATATTAGACAGTCTTGCCTACCGGAGAAGTGGTAACTAAGCCTGAGATGAGCCACAATAAGGGCACTATTGTATGTGATGGGTTCACCTTGTATTGGATTGTTCCTGGAATCAATGTAGGTCTTATTCATGAAAGAGCCACAAACTAACGCACCAACAGCTACATTTAGGTTCGGATTGGGTGAGTCAAGCCACTTAAACTCGTCGCTCCAGCCAGTTTCTGCATCAACTGGAATTGAAACTTCCATGTGGTGAACATATTGAGGGTACCTGCTTTCGTACCCTACAAGGTAGCTCATCCTCATAGGGTTTTTGCCTGGCACATAATCCGCCTATAGTTTGCAATTAGGTCAGTTTGGTGAAACCATACAAGAAAAATCAGCTTATGAAGATCGTCGGGCTTGTAGGATTTCCCGACACCATACAGCATTTCAGTTTTAGATTACGCGTGTAGTCACTATAGAGAATGGCTAGAAATGCTGAAGCCACAACACTTTGTAGACTGTTCCGTTCTATCACCCAAACAGACCGCCTAATGAATTGTCCCGATTCACGATCTAGCCGCCCCTAGTTATTCTAACAAGGTACTAACATAATACTAAGAGTGATGTTCCTCCCTTCTTCTATCACAAGACCAACACTTTTCGTTGCTAGACTGTGAATCTAGATGAGAAATTTAGGCAATGACAAACCTAACAAATTGTCTCGATTCACAATCTAACAACCTAAGCATCATGGTCTATTCAAAATTAGAGTTAATAGCATGTCAACGGAGATTTGAAGTACATATTAAGCTAAAAATGTAACTAACCTCCACAAAAAGCATATTTGGAGAAGGATGTTCATTGATAAGGTAACCAATGATCCGCTTAAAGTAGTCATGGGCATGATCCATTTGCTTCATAGCTTTTATTTGGTCTCCATATTCAAGAATTGCCCAGGACGAGACAGTTGCAGTGAAAGCCAAGGGAAACCCAAACTTACAAGCTGCAACAAGAAGAAAATACCACAACATCATAACATGCTTGGTTTACAACATACAAATCAAATCAAGGGCCTTTTGAGACTGTTCCTGTCAAAATAAGCGCTTTTGCTAAAAGTGTTTTTTATGACTCAAAAACGCTTGTAAGTTTTTCCGGTAAACATGCAAAAACGCATTTATTGATGTCAAAATAACACTTTTAGTCTTTTTCAGAAGCAGTCTAAAAAAACCGTAAAAACAAGAAACGGATAATAAGGGGTGTCGAATGTGACTGGGAGGTCAGCATGGCAGGTGGAGAGACGTGGCCGAAGAATGATGCCGTTACGAGCGTCAGCAGGCGTAGCTTGTCCGTTGTTTTGAAAGATTTTTGCTTTCTTTGTTCCACGGTAAAAAAAAAAAAAAAAAAAAAAACCCAGCATTCACTTGTGATGGGCCTATTGGGCCTGAGTATATCGGGCCAGGGCCTTAAATAGGTAGTGACGGCCCATATTATCTTTTTTTTTTTTTTCAAAGGCCAACTGGTCAAGGGCGCGAGAAGCGCTCCAACGGCAACTCGAGAGCTCCGTAGTCCGTACGATCCCTGTGTCTCGCTTGCTCGCTCGTCCATCCTCCGAGCTTAGTAGACACACAGATATATATATATATAGGCGGAGGACAAAGGAGCAGAGTAACACTGAGAACTGTAATCTAATCGAACAATGGCGGAAGGAGGAGAAGTCGATTGGGAATGCAGTGGATGCAGGAACAGAAACTACGCCTTCAGATCCTTCTGCAATCGCTGCAAGCAGCCTCGCATCCTCGTCGACACCAAAACTCCCGCCGACTCCAAGTGGCTCCCTCGCATCGGCGATTGGATCTGCACCGGTTAGACCTCACACCCCCCCCCCCCTTCTTTCTCTTTAACTTTCTCTCTCTAAGATTGGTAGAATTCTAGGGTTAATTTTGGGTTACTCATGGTTATGGGTTTTGGGAGTTGAAGGGTTCAAGGGTATTTATATTGGCTTTTGATTGAATTGTATTTCACGTATAATAACGGCTACTTAAGTGGGTTTGGTGTTTCTTTTTTTAGGAAGAAAGGAAATGAAAATGTTTTGAAAATTTTTAGTTTTAATCAAAATGATAAAAATATGTTGTAAGTGAATAATATCAGAAGTGACTTTTTAGAGTAAAAATGTCTTTATTTTTTTGTTAAAGTAAACAGTATCGAAAGTGTTCGTTAAAACTCCCAAAAAGAAAAGCAGAAATGTAAACAGTTCCCTTTTCTTATTTTTCATTAACCGTTAAAAAGCTTATGGCCCGATTGATAACCATTTCATTTTTAGTTTTTAGTTTTCATTGACAGGTACTAACATAGACGGAGCTGGCTTAAGCTCAGTGGCAGCGGATGCCCCCTCTCAATTATTTTTTGTTGAAAAAAATATACTCTTTTAGTTTCTTATGACATTAGTATTAACTCTTTTATGCACTATTGCCATCGTTGGAAGAGCATATTCAGCCGTAAAATTTCTATTGAGAAATTGGATATGAGATCAATGAATAAACAATAACATGATTAATTTTTTATAGAGAGAGATTTGATGGTATTAGTAATGAAGTTGTCATTCAACGTTTAAAAACATGAAACACATCAAGAGATATTGTAATAAGTTGTATAAAAAACCTTATGGATTAATTTACAAGTGTTTGGTTGAGTACATTCTTAAATTTTTTAATTTGTGATTTTGTTATTTGAGGATGCCCCATTCATGCAGATCTCTAGCTTCGTCTTTGCGCTATATTTGAAAAGTCTCCAAATGCTCCATCATCTCTAAGATATCCGGGAAAAGTAAGATGGAGTTCCTCGAGAGATTTCACCTTCAACTAATTTAGCAAGTACAAAATCAATGTTCCTCTTAAATTTAAGGACTTCAAAATGTTTCATTGACTCCAAGTTCTTTGGAACGTATCCAAGTTTAGAGCAGCCGGAGAGATTGAGTTCCTCGAGTTATTTCAAATTTACTAATTCTCTTTCGGATACTTGAAAGCCTTTTGCAACCTTGTAGTTCAAGTCTTTTTAGCGCAGGTAGAAACTCAATTGATGAGTGTAGCTCTTTAATCATTGTTCCACTTAAATTTAAGGACTTCAAATGTCTCATTGGCTCCAAGATCTCTGGAAAGTTTTCAAGTTCAGAGCAGCTGGAGAGATTGAGTTCCTCGAGATGTTTCAACTTACAAATGCTCTTTGGGATACTTGAAAGCCTTTTGCAACCTTGTAGTTCAAGTCTTTTTAGCGCAGGGAGAAACTCAATTGATGAGTGTAGCTCTTTAATCGCTGTTCCACTTAAATTTAAGGACTTCAAATGTTTCATTGGCTCCAAGATCTCTGGGAAGTTTTCAAGTTCAGAGCTGTTGAAGAGATTAAGCTCTGGGAAGTTTCCAAGTTGAGAGCGATTGAGCTCTGGGAAGTTTCCAAGTTTAGAGCGATTGAGCTCTGGGAAGTTTCCAAGTTTAGAGCTGCTGGAGAGATTAAGTTCCTCGAGATATTTCAACTTACAAATGCTCTTTGGGATACTTGAAAGCCTTTTGCAACATTGTAGTTCAAGTCTTTTTAGCGCAGGGAGAAACTCAATTGATGAGTGTAGCTCTTTAATCGCTGTTCCACTTAAATTTAAGGACTTCAAATGTTTCATTGGCTCCAAGATCTCTGGAAAGTTTTCAAGTTCAGAGCTGCTAGAGAGATCGAGTTCCTTGAGATATTTCAACTGATAAATGTTGTCTGGTAGACTCACTAGTTTCTTGCAACCAACCAACGATAATTTACTTATATCCCTAGGAAGCTCAGAAAACTCACCAAGAGATATGCAGCCATCTAGATTAAAGCAACCAGAGACTTTCAGCTTACATCTGTTGCTTGGAAGTTTCTCAAGGTATTTACAACCAGTAATATCCAAGTGAGAAATATTTTCGTTAGACCAAACTGATTCAGGCAACTCCTTTATACCACTGTTATGTAAATCTAAGTATTTAATATTTCTTGGCATCTCTGGAAGATACTCGAGACTGATGCAGCCTCCAACATCAAGATGAGTAAGCTTGTCAAGATGTTGAAAAGACCAAGGAATTTCAACCAAACTTGTACAGCCAAAGAGATCTATGCTCACAACTTTTAGACTCCCAGAGAGATTTGGAAGTTCAGTTAGATTCCAAGAGTGCTTCAAATCGATCACTTCTAAGTTCACCAGTATCTGCAGCAAATTAAATAGAAATATCAAGAATTAAAATATAATTTCTACACTTCATTTAATACAAGAATTAAAATAGGCATATAATATACCTGGTCTTCTTTACAAAGCTTCTTAACATTGCTATATCGCATATGAAGCTCAACTAGATTTTCAGGAGAAAAATTTGACGGCAAAGATTCCAGCAGATAACTAGGCCAGTAAAGATAACGAAGAGAATCGGGAAGGTCTAGAGAAGCAACAAAACTATCCACAATTAGCACTTTTAGGTTAGACATCACTTTGAGGTTTGCTCTATTCAATGGTCGCTTTTTAATCTTTGACCAATCAAACGTTATGGCCTGAACAGTTGGAGCTTCCTGAAAATAAGACCAAAGTTTGTAATGCTGTACAAGGGTATCCTCCTCTAGTTGTCTAAAAACACAAACATTTGTTCCTATTCCAAAGACTTCCAACACAATAAAAATCCAATCAATTTTTTTTTTTTTTTTTTTTTTTAAGAATTTGACTTCTTTATTATAAATGAGTTTTACTTTGTTGTGTCATCATCTAAAGTTCGTTATTTGTTTTTCTAGAAAAAGAAAAGAAAAAAATTGAACGCATTTGGCTCTTACCTTGTTACTCTTCAATACACGATATATATCCTCATCATTGAACAACCTATTCCGTTTTCCAGGATCGTCAATGCATTGTTCCTGAACAATTGTCCTTCCCATTTCTTCAAGCAGATCATGCATCTCTATAATTTCCCATCTTGATGTTAACTTAATTGATATGAGAGACATATGAACGAGAACTTTGATTCCAGCCTCTGCAAAGCGTCCACGGATAGCTAACCTTTTCCTTACCTCTTTCACTTCATTCCCTTTATGAAAACATGCTATATCCAAAAATATCTCCTTCTCATTTCTTCCCAATCCATCAAAACTTAGTCTCAACACTCTCTGGAGCCTTTCATATGGAAATTCTTTCAGTTTGTCCAATTCATCTTCCCAGTCTGCTTTGCTATTGCAATTGAAGAACAAGGACCCCAGAAGTTTAAGAGCTAAAGGGACGCCTCCCGCGTAATCCACCGCCTTTTCTGCCAACTCCTTATAACCTGCTCTAGGAGTACTGTTATTCTTGAAAGCACGTGAACAGAAGAGTTGAAGAGCGTCATTCTGTTTTAATCCCTCAACCTCGTAGATCTTACCCTCTTCAGTAAGTGTTCTCCTATCTCGACTTGTGATAATGATTCTACTTCCAGTGCCATACCGAAGACCCTTGCCAGCTAAACGTTCCAGTTGTATTGAATCACTCACATCATCAAGAATGATGAGGACCTTTGTACGCCTGAGCCTATCTCGAACAAAAGTTGATCCCATGGATAGACCTTCTTCCTTTAATATCTCCTTAAGAAGTGTTTTTTCCAAGTGTTCTAGCCCATCATTTTGTTCTCTCTCCCTAACATTTCTAAGAAAACAACAGGCTTCAAATTTAGAAGAGAGTCTGTTAAATACGGCTTCAGCAAGGGTGGTCTTGCCAATACCACCCATTCCCCAAATACCAACACTGATGCAAGCATCTTGTGAATGAATGGCCAATAGCTCTTCAATTTGCTGAATGTGGCTTTCAATTCCAACCAGGCCCTCTAAATCACATGATGATTCACAAATCAATTTGGTCCAAATACAATCGACAACATTCTTAATTAGATCTGCCTCCGTCCTGGCATATACATATATATACATATATGTATGTATGATTATGTAGAAAAAGGCAATAGTTAGTCATAAATATGCTTTACCCAATTTTAGCACAAATCGAACTGTCACAAGTTTAAAGAAAATTTATAACTTTAGAGCAAGTTAAAGAATGAGTTAGTTACCCGGATTTTTTAGAATGATCAAACCCAGAAAGATTGGCTGCAGTCGTCAAAGCATCCCTCCACTTGTGCACCTTGTCGATACTGTTATCGAAACGTTTTTCAAGTTGAGCAAATGCATCTGCATAACTCCCGTGTTGTTTTCGTACATCAGATGCATTGATGTCGTAGAAGACGGGTATAACCATCCGGCCTTCTCTGTTGTTGCATTTGAGTATATGCACAAGCTCATCCAAACACCATGTGGAAGAAGCATAGTTTTGTGAGAAAATAATCACCGAAATGGTGGATTTCTCGATTGCTTCTAGAAGGGCAGGTCTGATTTCTTCTCCTCTCTGAAGTCTGTTATCGATGTAGGTTTCAATTTTCTTCTCAAGTAAGGCAGCATGAAGATGGCTGGTAATACCAAGGCGGGTGTCCTCACCTCTGAAACTGATAAACACATCATACTTTTCTCGATGTGGGGGGTTATCAACATCAGCATCATCAACAACAGCAGTAGAATCAGCAGCAGAATCAGGTACAACAGAATCAGCTACATCAGAATCAGCCGCAGGAGACGAAGAAGAAAATGATCTGCAACACATGTACAACAGAGTCCCGATGGCGATGACGATGATGTTGAAAACTTGAATGAAGCCAATCAACTCCATCTCCGAATTAGGCATGTGCACAAAGTTACAAATGCTTCAAGAGGACAAAAATTGAAAATTTAGAGAGACAAGGATTAGTCACTTTCACATACTTAAAAAATATTTGATAATTGATAATGCTAAACTAACCAACGCTTTCACAAAGTTACAAACGCTTCATGGAGGACAAAACATATTTGTCGAAATGGTTTGTATGGTTTTTATACAAACAATATTGGTGGAGGGGAAATTAGACCTCAAACTCTGTCCTCAAATGTAATTCATGTTTATGAAGAAACATAGCGGATGCAATTAACTGAACTGAGGTGTCATACAAAATTAATTTGAATAATACTTAAGTACTCGCTAGTGAGTATTTTATGTACTCACTCATGATGTGTTTTTTGTTTTAAAAGCCCAAGAAAAATTAATGACATGTACATTATATTATACAAAAATAAAACATATATTAATTTATCATTGGACAGAATTAAGACGTGAGTACTCATTACACAAATATTGTCCTAATAATTATATTTTGCTTTCACAGTTTCCTAATTATGTTACAAAATGCATTACCTTGAATTGGCCTTTGGCTACCTGCACAAAGTTTCAAAGGCTCGAAAGTCAACGAGTGAGAGATGAACGAAGGTGGAAAATGGGGCACATGATACCCACCTATTTTATTTTATTTTTTTTAAAAACTATAATTTAAAGAAAGATATTCATATATTTGCAATCTTAATATGAACAATGTCATCTCAGCATGTAAAGGAAGACAATTGATCCAGATGCGAACAAAACAAAGTGACATCCGGTGACAGGTCACCAGCGAAGAAATTAACAGCAGACATAACAAAACTTAATTAGCAAATTAAATGCCAGCATAACATAACACCTAAACTTATTAATTAAAAAGAAATGACAAAAAATATAGAAAGAGCCTTAAACAGTATCAGTAAACATTAAACACTGACTAACCTCTGGCAAGTTACCAATTTGACAATGGCTTGTTTGTTTTCTCCACCTTCAAAACAAGAAAACTTCACCTTCAAAATAATAAATCCAAAACAATTACTTTTTTGTATCATCAGCAGGAGCGGCAGCGGATGACGACGAAGAAGAAGAAGAAGGCATATCCATAACCTCTAGTTTTCAGATCCAGGAGTAGTAGTTGCAGAGAGATTAATTGTGAATAGAGAGAAAGAGAGACTGGTTCAAAATTACGGAGGATACAATAAAGCGAGAGAAAGAGAGAGTAGTTTAGAATTAAGGAGGATCTAATGAAACAGAAAAGAGAGAGGGGAAGTGGGAGACTAGCTCAGATTTTACTTGAATTGGCTTTTGACTAGATGCACAAAGTTCCAAAGGATCTATGAGTAAGAGATGACCAGTTACAAAAGCATATAAAGGGGCGAACCCGAATCCTCTCCGGATCCCTATAAATCTGAGCCTAAGGATCCAACGATCTGGACCGTTGAAATTTGATCCAATGGCTATAAACAAATGTCCTTCTAAAATTATAATAATTGTAGTCGTTGAGTCGAACTTCAACGGTTCAGATCATTGGATTCTTAAGCTCATATTATTAGGATCCGGAGAGGATCCGGGTTCAAAAAGGGCACATGGGATGAGGCCCCTTTACGCCCTTTGCCCACTCGGTTTTGAATTTTCCTTGATTAGTATGTCACCAATTTCTTTCAAAAAATTTCCAAACAATTTCCAATCACCAATTTCTTTCAAGAAATTTCTAAACAATTTCCTGAAATAAAAACTGCTCGGAAATTGTTTGGAAATTTCTTGAAAGAAAATGATGACATACTTATCAAGGAAAATTCAAAACCGAGTGCGCAAAGCCAACAATCTGAACCAATGAAATTTCTTTCAAGAAATTTCCAAACAATTTCCAAGCAGTTTTGATTGAGAACTTTTCTAGAATTTTCAAAAGAAGATATGTCAATTCCACACTACAAAATCGTAGAGGAATGAGAATATTGTTCACCAATGAAAATTGAACAAGATTTCAAACAAAAGTAACTTTTGTTCTTAAAACCAAGAACCACATATGCATACCAAAATCACAAACCTTATTTTCCAGACATAGAGGTCAAAATCTAAATGAAGTCTACCTTCTCAAGGTGTAATTCTTCACTTGGTATTGCACCCTCCCCAATCATTTGCCCATGGTACACCGCAATGCCTGCCAACCATTGCAGGTTCCACAGTTCCTGCACTTCAAGACTGCAGTTTAGAAATCATCCAACTTCAATACACTATGAACCTAGTAATGTCATCAAGTACACCAAGAAAAAAATTCACAGCTCAGATTGTTGTTTTTTTTTTTTTTTGCACCTAATTTGGCAGCTTAGAGAGTAACCATCAACAGTGCCATGATTTTGAAAATTTACACATAAAACGTTCTAAATTGTTGTGTGCAATTTACTTCTGAATGATAGAGAATAGTGCCTAGCATAATAAAAGTATACCACAAAATAATAGAAAGGCAACACCTTTACACACTAATACATATAATTTTCATTTTCTATATAGTTTAGCATGTTTTTTGTTAGATGATTGAGCTAAACACACACACCTACGCATATGTACACGGATATGCTGCAGTTATGTTGTTTTATTATTACGCAACTGGTACCGTAGATTGTAAATAATGCTCACTTTTTTACTTCCTCATTCTTCGTATAAAGCTCTTGGAATGAAGCGATTAGCATCCGAAGAGCTTGTTCATGACTGGGATAACAAGAGACTGAACGTAGGACGTGTAAGGATGATCTATCTATTCTATGGAATTTTAGATTATAAGTTTATAAGATTGTTACATACAGTATCCTTTGCCTTCTTCTTCTCCTCCTAGTTCTTTCCTTGTTCTTTTCACTAAATTGCAGACAGTTGGGCAGCAGCAATCCTATCCTGGGTTTGAGCGAGTGGTAGGGACCAGTGGTAACCTCGCAACTGGACCTTACGCTCCTTATCATCCCAATATAAGCTCAGGCATGGCTCCGAAATTGCAAGTGCCCATGCCATTCACACAGCAAGCAATGACACCTGCACTCCTTGGAAAAGGGTAAGTTCGGAATCAGCTTTTCCTTTTACATATGGATACTTAGGTACCACATTCGGTTGGTTAGACAACTATTTTTGGTCTTTGAGTCTTTGTTCTGATATGCATATTAGATCTTACAGATTTGTGTTTATTTAACTGTTTTCAGTGTGCTTCCACTCCTTTTTAAACGTGGATAATATCCCTAATTCCGCATACGGCCCTGATAAATGTCAATTATGACGAGCCTATATTTTTAGCATAAATTCAGCTTATTGTGAGGTTAGCTTCTTTGATAAGGACTTTCTTACTTATAGTTTATTGGCTTCGCAGAGCAAAGCAATGACGTAATGGGGATTGGATGTGCACAAATTGCAACAATCATAATTATGCATCTCGATTGAACTGCAATAGGTTAGTGTATACACTAAGCATTGATTCCTCTTTTGCTTAACATTCATTACTTCATCCTTTTCCTCGGGTTTAATCCGAACTTAGCACTGTAAACTGTTTTCCAGTATGGCATGGAATATATCCTGATAGAGCAGTGAACCTCTTTCTCAATATGTACCGATAGAACAATAGTTTCAAATCCGTGTATCAATTATTTTTCCAGAACTGCAATTAACGAGGGTACTTCCTGTTGCTCCAAGTTGGGACGCGTAAATGATCTGTGCATTATACATTGTAATTTGCTCTGAATGTTGGAACCTTTGTTATCTGCAGGTGCAAGACTGAAAGAGATGCGACCGCTCAGCCGGTCAATGCCTTGTAGCCATTCAAATTCATGAAGTTGCATGCTTAGTGCTCATTCAAGTTTTGATTTAGCCTTTCATTTTGTACTATATTGAGGTGAAAATGAACCTTTTGCATTAAGCGGCTCGTTATCTCACATTATTCAGATAGCCTATCAATATTTCAATGTTAATAATTGCTCTCCAAGAATGTAATTTACAGCTCCATGGTTTCGTCTCACAGAGAAAGCTATTTGTATACTTTATTGATCGAGTAATATTACAGAGTCTCCGATGCAGGTGAACGCTTTTAACCAGTTGAGCTACAAAGCCTATGCAAACGATAAAGATTTGGTATGCAGTCATCAAAATCAAAACGAGAAGTAGAAAATCTCTTGGAGAAGAGAGTGACTGAATCAATCAGGAACCCTTGAGGATGGAAGTGGGAGAGAGAGGAGGTGCATCCAACTGGTAAAGATTAAGAGCCGGTCCAACAAACCTGAACAGAATCCAAGCCCCAATCACTATGTAAATTGAAGCATAAGCAAACTTGTTTAACCAAAACAAAGCACCCTTCTCCCCCACATAAAGCTCCCATGCCTTCTCCCCCAAGCTCATATCTTCCCACTTCTTTGGAGCGTCACTAGCTTGAGCCTTCATGACCCGTCCGCCGTCCCCCTCGTTGCCCTCCTCTCGCTGCTGCTTCGTCCGCCTTCTCGACCTCTTTTTGAACCGCACTCCCGTGGGGCCCGGTGCTGCCACGCTGTTGCCGTCAGTGTCCGGAATGCTAGTGCTGCCGCCACCATCACTGCCGGTGGTGTTGTAAACTAGCGTGCTGATCCTGAGAGGCCGCGGACAGGTGGCGGGTGAGAAGATATGGTTCAGTTTTGTTGGAGAAGGTTTTGAGTGGGCGAGGTGGGTTGGGGAGGCTGGTGTTGAGCTGAGTAGGTGGAGGAGTTTGGCCTCCATTGCTGAGGAAGTTTGGTGTTGCAGCCGAGTGAGTGAGTGAGTGGTTGGATTTTGGTTTTATCACTTTATCTTTTCGTTGTTTTTTTTTTTCCACTATGAAAGAGGCCAGTCTGATTAAGAAAAGTGTGGTTGGGCTTCAACTTTAAGTGGGCCTTAACAAATTTTCAATTTACTTGTAATCAAACTCAAACTTCACCAAAAACTAAGGGCATGTTCGTTAACGTTTTGCAAAACAGTTTTTCATTTTTTTGACGCAAAAATGGGTGAAAATGCATTTAGTAGATAGATAATTTTGTGAAAATATACTTTGAGACACAAAAAACAATATTTAGCCTGAATTATGTAGAACATCAAATTGATGTTTCTTTTGTTTTTCAAAATAATATAAAATAAAATGTACATTAGAAAATAAATGAGTTTTAATAAAAAAAATTAAAAAAAATCATGTATGCTAATACTACCATCACCAAGGCTGCCACCACCATCACCATCACATTTTCCATCGTCTCACCATCACCACCACTATGACCATCATCTTTGACACCACCATCGTCGCTACTATCATATCCTCAATTGCCATCACCCTTGCCACCATGGCACGCCCCCCTCCCTCATCTCACCTTCGCCACAACTGACATTACCGACACCCTCTCAGCATGACCTCCACATGTACCTTTGTTGCCACTATAACAGCCACCATATTATCCATTGTCGCATTATTGCAACCACCACCATTACCACCATCGTCACCACTACCACCACCACATGCTCCATCCCATTACCCTCACCATATCCACCACCACCTCCACCATCTCCTGTCACCATCATCCCTATCATCTAAACTACCATTTTCACAGCCATCCCTATTTACTGAACTTCATGTTTATAATCGGAACCGTTCATATTATAAATCACTCTGTAAATACCATTTTTATAAAATAAAAAAAAAATCAATTGACACAAAGATCATTTTGTTAACAAACTGTATAAAAATAGAAGAACATATTCAATAAAAGTATTACAAACCATCTATCATTTTGTTTCAGTTGATTTACTAAATTATCTTAGTTTTAATTGATTTTTTTCACAGAGATTAACCTTACAAAATAATTTAAAATATAAACAATTTTAATTATAAATACGAAATTCTATAACTAAGCAACGCTATATTTAAAAAAAGAACCCTTCTTCAACCTTAAGGAGCCAAACTCATTCTCGTATCCCAATTAGGAACGAAATCATTGATTGGACTTGGACAAGTGGGCAAGCTTTTATTATAGCCCAACGCAAGATGTTGGACGAGGATCTCAAATTCCAAATCCTACCCGGATCCAACTCTCACCACCCCTCATAAATACCAAACTACCCCTCCTCTATCCCCATTATTACAAACCCCTCGCCGAAGGTTTTACAGTCACTAAAGTACGCTTTTGGCTACCCGCTCTTTAGCATCTCTCTTTTCCAAAGCAAAAACATCCACTCACCCAGTCAACAAGCCGGAGCAACCCAGCCCCACCAATCCATGACCGACAACACCACCGATGACAACCGGGTCGAACCGGTCGACCCGTTCCTTGTAGGGTATCAGCCCTCGGAGCTCCGAATCGCCTCGGAGTTTCTCTCCACCTGGCTCTCCTTTCTCACCAGAGATCTTTGTCCACACTGCTCCGCCAAACTCGCCGATCGCGTCCGCTCTCTCGGCCCAGGTACGATTTTTTTTCACTTTCTGTTTGTTTGCTGGGAAAATATAGGGCTAGAAAGCGTGTAGAAGTAAAAAGTTTCAGTCTTTATGTTGTCCTGTACACAGAAGAATTTTGAATGTTGAATTTTGAATTTGTGTTTTGGCATATCCTTAATGGGATTTTGTGATTTGGGAATTGAAGAACTTGGTGGGGATTCGAAACCCGTTAACCCGGATGAGAATTCGGGTGATTTGAATACGGAGAGCAAGGAATTGCAGGTGGGTAGTGATAATGATAATGGTGAGGATCATCATGATGATGACACAAAGTCACTAGGTAGTTGGGACGACGGAGATCAGGGGATATCGGAACCCGACCCAGAAGCTTCTAACAGTGGATTGGCCCCCTTATTAGACACTCCAAGCCCTCGAATGTCGTGGGCCGATATGGCACAGGAAGATGAGCTGGAAGAAGAGGAAGAGCATGAGTTGCCAAAGCGGGTGGTCAATGTGAACGAGGCGACTGGAAATTTGAGGATTACGAAGTCTACATTGTCTAGGGAGCAGAGTGAACGCATTAGGTTCATGAATGTTAGGAGGAAGAAAGATTATATTTGTTTGGAGAGGATTAATGGGAAATTGGTTAACATTGTCGATGGGCTTGAGCTCCACACTGGTATCTTCAGTGCGGCGCAACAGAATAGGATTGTTGATTATGTTTATAAGCTTCAAGAGATGGGCAGGGATGGTTTATTAAAAGGTTAGTTCTTTGCTTTAAGAATGCCATTACAGTACTTGATCTTCCTGTTGATATTTCTTCTTGTTTTCGTACATGTTATATATGTTTGTAATGTTTCCAATAACATGTTTTCCCTATCTATGATGACTTGATACATAGGCCTTATTGGTAAACCTTCTTTACCTAGCTAAAATGTTAGTTGTGTGGAATGCACATAATGTCTTCGATTTTCTTTTATGAATTTACGTCTATTTTGTTCCTCAAATTTTATTTATTTATTAATTTAGTTCATTGTAAGTTGCCAAAGAACTTTTTTCAGTGGTATGTATGTGCCAAATGTTAAGGTTCCCCCTCTCTTTTCACGACGAGTTGTAAGTTATCTTTTATGTATTTTTTTCTTTATACAGAAAATATGAAAGGTCTATTATTTAGCTCAAACTTGTTTCAGGATTTTCTAGTTGCATTTTATTATATTGATATAATTTAATTCTTATTAGGAAATGTATGATCTTTTTGGCTAACCTGTTCTGAAATTCTTGCAGCACGTACGTATACAGCACCTCAAAAGTGGAAGAGGGGCAAGGGACGAGTAACCATTCAGTTCGGCTGTTGCTACAATTATGCAATGGTATGCCTTTTTGCTATGGCATTTATATTTAATTTCAGTTTCTTACTTGACTAACATTTTGTAGAAATCAGCTACATTGTTATTCTAGTGGGTATAATTTCTGAACTTTGCTCAAAGGAACTATAAAGTGATACTGATTTTAATGTTGCATCTGTTGTGCTGTGTTGGTTGCAGGATAAGTATGGTAATCCACCTGGTATCCTACACGATGATGTTGTCGATCCCATACCTCAACTTTTCAAGGTGATCATTAGGAGGCTGGTAGAATGGCATGTGCTTCCCCCGACCTGTGTACCTGATAGTTGCGTCGTCAATGTATACAATGAAGGGGACTATATACCTCCGCATATTGACAACCATGATTTTGTTCGACCTTTCTGTACCGTGTCCTTTCTTAGTGAGTGCAACATAGTTTTTGGATCAAACTTAAAGATCATTGGTCCTGGCGAGTTTGAAGGTTCATTTGCCATTCCCTTGCCAGTTGGGTAAGTATGCCATCCTGATTTGTGCCTGTGAATTTACTGCCCATGTTTAGACTCTACCTATTGTTTGCCATTACATTTTATTTATAGTTTTGATATATGCACCAACCTTTTCATGGATTCAAATATCTCAAGAGTCAGCATTTTCCCATGCAGGTCTGTTCTGGTTTTAAACGGAAAGGGGGCTGATGTAGCTAAGCATTGTGTGCCTCCAGTACCTACAAAACGGTAAGAGTTAAAAGTGTGCAATATAATTATTGTCTTTTTGTGGTTGCTTGTATTAATTATTTGTCTTCAGGATATTTACCTGTTTGTTATTGTATGTATTAGGATATCAATCACATTTAGAAGAATGGATGAAACCAAACGGCCGAATGGTTATGTTCCAGAACCTGATCTACAAGATCTTCAACCACTATCCTTTGAAGAGGACAAGAAAACTAGATTAAATTCACCTAGGAGCCAACGTCGGATGAGGAGGCAGCCAATTAGGGGATCTGCTGACAGACGTGAGTTCCACTCAGAAATTAGGGGATCTGCCGACAGACGTGAGTTCCACTCAGAAATTAGGGGATCTGCTGACAGACGTGAGTTCCACTCAGAAATTAGGGGATCTGCCGACAGACATGAGTTCCACTCAGAGCCCCGAGAGTCAAGTTGGAGTCGACGTGGATCTGGAAATAGGTGGAACCGGGGAAGGGTCAACTTGAATTTTGAGAGCTAGTTGATGATGGCTAACTTCTTTGCCAGTACAAGTGTTGCAGCTGGCCCCTTTCAACCTTTCGTCAAGGTTCTTACATTTAATTTCCTAAAGAGATAAAAGATATCGTTTGGATTTGTATCTTTCTACATCTACTTTAGGCTTGTCAACTGTGCTTTGGTTTCTTCTTTTACAAGAGCAATATGCATGTTTGAGTATAGATGGAAGTTCAGAGGATGCGGCGAAGGTGGTGGACGTAAATGCAACTTGCTGGAATGCTACCACAGTTTTATTGGTATTATTTTTCTATAGCTTATAAGGCATATGCCCCATAACTAGATTATCACTTCGCGCTATCGGCTTTGTGAGTTTAAAACATATGGATGAGTTGTACTATATAGTTGATGAACCAACTTAAAGCTGGTTGTTTGTAGCATATTGCTGCTTATGTACCCCAGCAATTGATTGCAATCTATTGAGTGTGCTATTGTTTGATGATCGGAGATATCAGTTGTTCTTTCCTCGGTTTTATGTTTGTGAAACTGAGTTTTTTACGCATGCTCAAGTGTCTTGTGTTTGAACGTCTAAAATTTCTGGCCGGTTTGAGCCATATATTTTCATTGTTGAGATGAGAATGAAATGTAGATTGGTAATTGGTACTTGTTGGAATAAGAACACAGTATCGTTGTTGATTTTGAGCTCGAATGTTATTCCATATTCTTTACTTTTCCCTTCTCTTTTAGTTACAGATGCAGTTACAGTTTCTGGGAATTTTCTGCTTCTCTTTTGTACCTTCAATTCCTTTGCATTTTGACTCCTACAAAGATGGTGCCTTTATTCTTATTTCGTACTCCCTTGGGCCATGGCCTTGGGCTGCCTGACTGGACTGGCCATGGTTTGGGATCAGGGTTCCACGGCCTTGATTTCGGGTTCGCTTCTTGAACCTAACCAGGGCCATGTTTTCGGGTTCACTTATTGGGATCGTAAGTGAACTGACCCGGATTTACAGCCGGGTTCTATCGGGATTGTCGGTGAACCGACTAAGATTTACAGCCGGGTTCCATCGTAGATCCACGGCTCTAGATTAGACCAGAAAACAATCTCTCCTTAAATTTTAGGATGGCCAGAAAAATAAGCTTTTAATTCTCACTTATAAGAAACAAATCTTGCGAACATGGTATTCTGTGTATTGATCACATCATAGATAATCCATCGGAATAGGAGCTTCTCATCTCTATTACAATGTGGTGCAAATAGTTTTAGGAGCCGTTATTAACATTCTAAAAAAGAGGGTGAATCCTAGCTCAACCAAAAGGTTGCTCATTTGTGACTTAAAGGTCACAGGTTACAGTTGTAGAAACATCTTTGCAACGAAAAAGTAAGACTGCATACGAAAAACATTTACCTTGATCCTCACAAAGTAGGAAGCCTTGTTGATTTGGTATCGCCATTTGTTTTTATTAACATGCTAAAATAGTCCCTTTGAAATCCTTCCTAGCAAAGGGAGGAGTTATGATGACTAATTTGAACTGTTAATAACAATTCTCAAAATTTTGTATTAAGAAAACTTTTATTGTCAACATAATTAATAAAATGTTATATATTTGCCTTTATTCTCCTTCCATCATAACAAACAGATTTGTTACTAATGAGACTTTTGATTGGTTTCTCACTTTTTCTCGTAATTTTAAATTTCAGTAAATCTCCTCATTTCACATGCCCCGCTTCTTTTAACTTTCCAAATTCATAGCATGTGACATCTTTCTAATAGTAAACAAACAAAACATTGAGTTTACCGACATAAAATTTGGTGTTTATATTACTACTCAAACACTATAGCATCATAGTTGTTTCCAAACATTCCGTACATAGACGTTTTCTTTCATTTATTAGCAAATGTCGCCAACGTAATTTAATTCAGGACATCTTCCAACCAAGTAAAATTTCATTGATCATGAGATTTGTGCACCTTTTAACCTTTAATATCACTTGAGTCGAGGCACATGTACATTCCATCTTATATGTTTGAGGATTGTAATTGTATATATTAATACATACATATGATCAAAGGCGGATGCATACTGAGATCTCGGTGGTCACATGATCTCCCAAAGTTCATTCGAAGATTCTCTGAATGTTTTGTAGGGATCCCTTTGTACCTACTAAGTGTTTGATGTAATACCTGCTGGATATATCTGGACATGTCGCATGGATAACACTTGACAAATTCTCTCGATATTACTCATCAAGTGTTTGAAGAAATGCCTCTGTGAATAAATTGAAAATTTTTTAGGGGGGCTTCGCTCTCTATTTCCATCTAAAAAACTTAGACCTTTAACATTAAGACCATCCAAGATTCAAACCATAGATCCACCACAGAATATGATATAATATGATTTGTTTAATTTTATCCTAGATTAGACCTAGCACATTTACGCCACAAAATATTTATGGCATGAATTCTACTCTCTTTTTATTTTTACTCAATCAACCCGAACTCAAGTTCAAACTTTGAGATCTCTAGTCCTCCTCTTATCATTTAGGTCATCTTCAACCGAAGGATCTAGAGGGCCGAAAATAGTTTGAAAACTGCCTCCAATCGAGGGTCAAGCCAAGGAGCTCGTGGGCCCCACTAAACAAAAATGGGCCAAAGGGCCAACCGGTTGACCTAAAGGAACCAGCCAACCAGGCCCAGGCATGGCCGGATTTTGAATTCCAACAATAACTAGCTGACCTCACCTAGTCGTTATGTTTGAATTTTTTTTTTTTTTTATAACAATTTTTTTTTAAAATTAAAAATTCTATTTTTTTTCCTATAACTTACTAAGCCATTAAACAACATTAAATAACATACAACTACATAAAAAAAAACATTTAACAATATGAATTGTAGCCCAATATCCATCCTATTTATAGGCCAAAAAATTCAAATCCAACGGCTAGCTAACGTCAGTTACCGTTGGATTTGATTTTTTTTTTTTTATGCCAAAATTTAAAAAAAAAATATTAAAAAAATTCTCATTTTTTCCTATAAATTTAAGTTGTTGTAATTTTTAAATTTAAATAATAAATTATGTTTGACCCTCAGTTGAAGATGGTTTTTTGTCACAAGGCTATGTTTGGCTCTATGGCCCTTTGGCCCTCGGTTGAAGATGGTAAGAAATATGGTCCTACACCATTCATTAAAATATTAATTTCTTGAGAGACCAGAGAGCTAAAACGAATTTTAGCCTTCTGACCCTCCTTCGATTGAAGTTGGCCTTAAGTCAAACCACAGGACGTCACTATAATTTCTCAACAAAAAAATAGAAAACGAAAACACCTCTACACATGCAATACGATCATAGAGGGAGGCATGAACTTTGAACATAACAGTGGCCGATGTTGTGGTCCAATAAAACCGCAGACGCTGCAACTTACATGCCAAACCTGAAACTCCCAAAAGGGCCAAACCTGCATCAATTATATATGCGTGGGGAGTGGGCTCCACTCTAGCTCCCATGGTGCCACCCCTACTACCCTAGTGTGCTGTGCAAATTAACAAAGCATATTAAACCACATGTAAGGGGCAAACTGCGCTCAGCTGCCATCAAACTTCAGAAGCATGGAGTAGCAGCCTATGTGTAGCCCAGCTAGTAGGCAAAGGCAAATAGCATTCATATGATATGTGAGAGATTCTAACTATTCTAAGCAAGTTTCTTGGCATGTATATGTTCAACATATTTAAAAGGAAATGCGCTTATTTGTATACGAGCTTTTAGTATGCATCGGTGTATATACACTGATTTTTGTAATTGTTTTATCCTTACTGTTTGATTATTAGCTACACATTCAACTTCCTATTCATCTGTGCATATTAATATTTCATATATTGGAGTACAGTAAAACTTTTGGTATGTACATGAACATGGACGGAGCCAATAAAGGTTCACTAGAAGCAGTTGCCCATACTCAAATAATTCATTTGTTAAGCTGCAAACCGTAGTTATATATATATATAGACACACACGTGTTCTCTTTGAAGAAAAAATATATATATCTAATGGGGGGAAATAAATATAAGAAAAAATATATATTTGTTAAGCTGCCTCTCATGTATTAATATTTTTTTTCATCATTTTGCCACTTTCCACTACTACACTGAAATGGGGGGAAAACTCTCTGTTCCTGGTTCTACTGTAGCTAGATCCTTTATAACCACAAGAATCCTTAATTAGAATGGGATTCCAATTCATCACCCTTTCCTTTTGAGATTTTAAGAAGAGTTACACAGTATAATGAAAGTTGTAAGCTGTGTTTCAGGGGGGAGGGGTTATTGTCTATCGTTGGCCTCTATAGTAGTATCAATCGGGGGCCTTGAGAGATGGTGGTTTACCTTGTGGCGGATGTCAACAGTTCGAGTATGCTTACCTCCAACTCGCAAATTTAATTAGCTAATACAAAGCTATATGATAGCACCCAATTTTTTCGATTCCGCAGTTTGATCTAGGCTATGATTTATCATTCATGGACGTTGATAAGATTCTTCCATTTAGCAGCACCTTAGGAGATGGCATGACCTTAAATAAAGTTAAGGGCGAGGTTCAAACAAGGAATGGCGTAGTAAGCGACGAAATGATTTGGGAAGTTAAAAATAAGTGTAGATCCGAAGATTCCCAAATAGCTTAACCTTTCGAACTGCTGCTTAATCCATAGGCAGGCAAGAGACAACTTGACAAATTTGTAATTTTGAAATTGTGATATATTATCATTTAAAATCATTCCCATTAATTATCATATTGGGTATTAGCATGGACGAAGCTAATGAAGGTCCATTGAGGGTAGATGCCCTCAAGCAGTTTGTTTATTAAGTTGCATATGCATTTATATATATACAAGCATTATCTTTGAAGAAAATGTATGTATCTAACATCAAGTATACCTTCATAATACTTCGACTCCATATCAGATATTTATATGACCAAAAGGCTCTTGTTCTGTTATTCAAATAGAAAAACCCTCACCCGCCTCTCATATATTAATATTTTGCTCCACTTTGCCACTTTTCACTATTATACTGAAATTTTTGTAACATTACATTATCATTTGAAATCATCCTCATTATTATACTGAGTATAAGTCATACTGTAATAAAGTTTTCTTAATTATTTTTCGGATTGTCCACACTATAAGAAACTTCTAGTGTCCTATATATGAATTTTTATTCTGAATTAATATTTCAAAGACAAGAAAATGAATAGGGAGGGAAACTTGTGGCTAGGGTTTGGTCTAGATTGTTGCAAGTCTTTGTCTTAGACTTAACAGAAAGGAACCAAAAGACAGTGAGACTACTTACCATAGTAGTCTAGAGAGAGAGAGAGAGAGCGGGAGAGAGAGAGAGAGAGGGAGATCTGGGGTGATATTATTGAGATGTATCTTGAGAGAGATATGGGAAGAAAATAACATCCAAAAGATGATTACAAGAAAGAAAAGGAAGTGTACTCACAGCGGCTATGCACACTAA